AGCAGCAGCAACATAAATGAGCCTACACTAATATGGCATTGTGAGGTGCTCTGCCTCCTGACCGTCTCCTACACAATCCTTTTCTCCTCCTGTTTTCTCAGGACTTTCTTCTGCATTCCCATTCTTAACCTCTCCTATTCCAGAAGTAGCTGCCAAGCTCCTCCTGTACTCACTACCCTTCCCTACTCTTCACTGTCTACCAACCCTTACCTTATGGCTTCCTCACTTCTCCTGCCTCCTTTCAGCCTTTCTCCCCATCAGCCTCCCTCTTTTCCTCAGCTCCTGATTCCCTTTCTCTTTATCTCCAGCTCTTCCTTCTCCACAGCTTCAGTTCTTGCTTCCATCTCCCACACCCCCACTCCCAGGGCTTTATTAATGGGTTGCTAAGTTGTCCTCCCCTCTGAGATGATCCAATCCATTTGAACTAATTCCTTCTCTCAACTGGAGACTGCATTTCATCTCCATCGCTGCGGCACTTTGATGCTTCTTCTCTTTTCTAATCCTGTTCTGCTCCTCTCCGGATCCCGCGGGGAGGAAGAAGCAGAAAGGGGGTCTCCCCTGCTCAGTGCATCTGACCTGTGACTCTCATTAAAAGAATCTTTTTCAAGCCAGACACTGCAAACCCGTCTCACTTGCGTCTTGGGTTGCAGGAGGGAGGTGTGGGGGGGAAAGCTATTTGGAGAAGCTGTCTCCATGACAACGCAAATTCCCATCAGAAAATGTGCACAGGTCACCTGTTTCCATGAAAGTTTCTCTCTTGATGTCTCCCCACTGCCTCTCCAACAGGTGCCAGGGGAGCAGGTGCCATTTTGCTGTGCCAGCAAGGAAAAGTTAGCATGTCTCCAATTTTGGGAAAGGCACCTGTGGGAATGCTGACTACTGACAGCTGCAGAAGTCCACAGTCCTCTGCAATGGCATGCAAAAGGGAAAGAAGCTTGGGGTCCTGATGGCACATAGCAGAGGAGGAACAAGAACCTGACACCTCTGAGGGCTCAAGAGCAAACGTGAGTTAGCTGACAAGCAAAAAGGAGCTGACTGGTGACAAGCCTGGTCCCTAGTCCCTGTTCACATCAAACCACATGATTTAACAAGCATGGCTGGATCTACTCAGCACTGGCACAGGAATGGAAGAGCAGTCAGTGGGACTAAAGTGCTCAAAACAGAGCTGTACAGGGAGCCCAGGGCTGGAATAAAAAGAAGGCCGACAGATGGGAATCAAGGAGCATTAACAAGGCTGTGTAGAGAGCCTAGGGCTGGAATAGCATGGAGGAGAAGGGCACTGGCAGAAAGGACTGAAATAGCATGGGGGCACTGCGGGGTGGGGTGGAACTCTAGGTAGGAACTGAAGTGCCTTTACAGACATGCCTGGAGAAGCTAGTACTGCTTTTACTTGCTGTAACAGTGGCTGAAGCCACATATTATGCCATAGTCCCCTGTCCCTTGAGCAATGAAACAGGTAATGGGTGCATTTTCAACTGGTACTACACCCTCCTCAGGGTACCACTCCCCCAGATCATCATGACCACATCTCAGTCCTACTAGTATGGGGTGGGGATGGGTCAAAGTTGGACAAAGCCCCCAAAGACCAAAGCAGAGGATAGTCATTCTGGTGTAAGCAGCCCTTGTGCCAGCTGCAAACCAGAAGTGAAAATGGGGGAGACTGGTGGGGACAGGGAATCCCAATGAGATTCTGCCTTCTTGGCCCACTGTAACACATGCTGGTGTTGCCCTCTAGCACAAGTAGGCTATGGAGTTTTTCAGGGCACAATTTCATGGCAGAACAGCAAATGAAGCTCTGACTGACCACATCACTGACATAGCCTTGAGGGCCAATGATCTGGTCAAAGATCCAGGAGAGGTTCAGGGTCTCTGGATTCTGCTCTCATCTCTACTACCAACTGGCTGATAATCCTGGCCAAAAGTCACCTCAATCTCTCCATGCACCAGTGTTTCCCAGCAATGTATGACGGCTACTTACTTTCATAAAGTGCTTTGAGATCTATGAATGGGAAGTGCAATATAAGACTTCAGTAATTACTGGGGGTAAAAAGTGCGTGGACCTGCTGTGTGCTGTCCTCCAACCAAAAGAATATTTGATCCTGGCCAAAGGCTCAGGAAATGGTAGGGGGATGACCTCTGATTTGATTTTCACCTCCACTTCACTCGAGGGACAATGAATAACTACTCGGATTGACAGCAATACTCTACCCCACATAAGGGGGTGTGCAATATAAACCCCAAAGCAATCTATGCCTCTGACTTAAGATTCCCAACATGGATGCTACCTGGTGACACTGTGCACAGACCTGAGGTGTGGGGGAGCAATGCCTGAACACAGACATCCCTGCCTTGCCAATTCAAAAGGACAGGCTGAGTTTAGGACATCACCTGTCCTCCATTTTTTCTGAACATGCGCCATCCCTGAAAGCTGGATTTTTTTTTTTTTTTTTTTTTTAACAGAAAGGCAGCTCTCTCATTAAAAGCTGCCAGGTGTTCCCAGCACAATCTGTGGCTCCCTTTTTAGCTCTAATGATTTCATCTCGCGTGTGACAGATGCGCTCTTCAGGACCTTTCCTGGAGCAACACAACGTCATCTCTGCACCATCAAGCACCGATTTAACAAACCTGATGCTCCCCCAGCCACCCCAACCCTCCTCTACACACACACACACACACACACACACACACACACACTTCCCACAACTTATCACAGGGTAGCAGACACACATCACTCATAGAAGAGCCAAAGAACTGGTCTCCTGCACTGACTACACTGTTGTCCTCTAGCACTGAACATTTCCAGGAAGAGGTGTTAAGAGGGCTGAGCTACAAACACAAAACTGGAAGGTAGGTACTCTACCCTCCACATCCGCCACTAGTCTTCAAACCCCATACTTTTAGCAACAGGATGTGGTCACAAGTCGACAGACAGACTAATCCATTCATGGAGATAAGCACACCTCCTGCTGGCTACAGCAGGAATCTGCCCAAGCACTGAACATAATAGAAAAGGCTGTTTCCCACAGCCCTTAACATACCCCACTGCAGATCGTGGGCTGGTGCTAGCGCTTGGATATCAATTTTTCAGAAAAAAAACAGGCTGAAGATACTTTTCACAGTTTCCCACATGGCTGGGATTTTTGCCAGGACTGGGAAGTATATAAATAGCCATTTCAAGATGAGCAAATTCAAGTGCCTGCATTTGATGGCGGGATGCCACAGAAAAACATGTGCTCTGGCCTTTCCGAACTTCGAACTAAGCTTCATCATCCTACACAGGCCTCAAGGTCACAAGACGCTATCATCACAGTCTCCATTAATCGCCATGAGCCAGGACTGACAACTACTGCTCAAGAGAGGCCATAGGGAGGTGGTTCCTATCCTGCTCTGAACAAAGTTTAGGCACATTAATAATAGACTAGGTTTGACCTATTCGAGGATTTGCTTTCATTGTTGAGTTAAATCACAACAAAATGTAAATTTCATTTCCAACCTGGCTGTGCCCAGAGGTTTCTCTCTAAGGCTTCCTCCATCCCTGACCCCAACTCTCTCTCCATTCGGAAGCATACACTCCCGCCTGAATATGTATAAGTCATCAGAAGAGCCCTACATCTACCTTCAGGTCTCAGTGCCTGACAACATACCACAAAACCCACAAGGACTACAGCTCAGGACTGAGGTGCTCTAACGAGACAAGGGGTAGCTAGGACTGGAACACTAGTAGGGGCTGTAGGTCAGCCAAGGTGTACCAGTCCTGGGGCAGCCTAGGTATGTGACACAGACAGTGGTGCAGATCAGGACAGGAGCTAATTGTCTGAGCTATGGTGGGCAGTCTGTTTCCAGCCTGTCCTATAAATACTCTAGTGAGCCCATTTATACTAACAAAACTACTGAACATTTGCCCACTGTCAGCTAAGAGTCCCAGGGGTCTATATTGGTATCTCAGACTTCCCCATAGCTCTCTACTGCTTGATAACAGTTTCCTTGCTGGGTGCCAGATCCTTCTGCAGGGCATCAACCCAGTCTGCTCTGCCCTCATGTTTGTGAAGGGTGATAGATATTCCTGCTACCTGGATGGCAAGAATGAGGGTGTAGCTTGCCCTCCAGGAAACATCCCATCACAAGGAAAAGCCTTGGGCTGAGCTTGAAGAAAGGAAGTGTCTATATCTGACAGCTGAGAGGAGTTCGGGGAGGGTGGGTTTAGACACATAAGGAAGGTGAAGTGGAGAGTTCACAACACAGCTTGACAGAGAAACAGAAATGAAAGATGAATGGAGCAGCAGTTGCCCAGAAGACCATAGGTAAAGGGATCCACTCCCTCTCCATCACCCTATACCAGGATTCCACAATAATCACTACCACCCTCCAAAGGCAGAAGTACCTAAATGAATACTTCCTCAGATAGCCTGCTGGGCAGCAGAGATCTCTAACATCCTGCCACATGCACACAGAGGAAGGGCACACCGAGCCTGGGCAATCTTGAGGGAGAGATTTGTGCTACAGACTTCTCATTCACTGATCAACCAGTTGGAAATTGCTACCCAACTTCTTTGGAATAATTTGCAGGGAAGGTAGGGAATTGAAACTGACCAGTACAAGCAGATGTCAAGTTACAAGTAGATGTCTAATCCAGTAAGTGCTGGTATGCAACCAACATTTATGGGATTAAATTCCTAACCGTTGGGGAGCACTTTCATATAGAAACCCAGCCATTGCATTGGCTGGGATGGCAAAACCTCATAAGTGTTATGAGGTGAAAACCCATAACATCTATAGTAGTCAATGGCAGGAGAGGACCCATTCCCTTGTAAGTGAATAAGAGGACATTATTATTGGTAAACTACCTCCTACACGCAAAATAGCAGGAGAGGATCTTAGGCTATGTGACCAAACACCAAGAATTACCAGAAGATAATGGCATCTATAAATTGCCAGTAGCATGAGAAGGCATGGCTAACATGCTGTGAATCTGAGACATTCCACATGCAATGGTCACTCACCTTGATATAAGTGTCAAGAGCTGGGTGAACCCGATTCACTGCCAGGTGGATAGACAAGGGTGTGGTGAATGGGAAGGTGGCCATGACCACGTGGCTGGGAGCTGGAAAGGAAAAGATCTTGAAGCCAAACTTCTGGAAGAGCTGGATCATCTCCTCTGATGGCTTCTCCTCACCCTCAGTCAGGATGCGCCCCACAGCATAGCGGCATTTCTCAGGCAGCACCTAAGCAGATAAATGAACAGGTGACATCAAGGGGGGAAAAAAAGGCTGAAAAACATCTGAGCCAAGGTGGCCAAATTGTTCCACAATGACCGACTGGACATGGACAGGCAAAGGTTCCTCAGAAACCCAGCAACTTTCTAACTTGCCAGGTGCTACAGCTACCTGGACAAA